TGGAGGGTTGCACTTACGAGACGAGTCAATTGGAGACATCCCTGGGGTCATTGAAGTGCGGCCAGCGGGGTTTCTTCCCCGCGAAGGTTCAACCTCCACCAAATCTAGCACCGAGTTTTCCAGCCCACCGAAAGGACCTGGAGTCTCCTTCTGACCCTTTAAGCATGGGTCCGTGTCCCATTTCTGTATTTTTGGTGACCAGCCATTTTTGATTCGGGTCGGAAGGAGACTCCGAGCTGTTGTGTTTCCCCAGCTGAAAGCTTGGTCGAGAGGCCCAGATGGGCTCCGGACCGAGGGCGGCTACGCGGTATGCTTGATCCACAAAAACTCTCAAAACTCCCTTAAACATTGGATATTGCTTCCCCCCCCCCAAAAAGAACAACACAAGTATTTCCCTCTTATTTATAGTTTGAGGGTCCAGGCAGTTCGATTCGCAGAGGGAGCAGTTGCCTTCCTTTGTTTGGGGGAAAACAACTCCATGCAGGGTGTGTCGTTTCTAGATCCCACAATTCAAAAGTATTCTAGCCACCCAAGTTTACCGAAGCGCCGATGTTTTTTGGGTGTCTTTTCGGTGTCTTTGAGATGTGCATTAAGCCTACCGATGCAAATATTGGCTGGTAACCCCGGGGAGAGCCCACACAGACCCTTCCCCTAATGTCGACCCCGGATGAATGTCGACTCCGGATTGATAGACCCGTCCTATTAATAGGGGTTCCTGGATTTTGTGGATGCTCATCAGTTTTTGGTTTTTGGGGGGCGTTAGGACGGGTTTAGCAATCCGGAGTCAGCAGGCCGTATGCGGTTGGTCTATTGCTGCCGAGTAAGGCTTGTCAACCCCCCCCTCTTCAATTGAGATTCATGTGGGGGTGCTTTGAAGGGTCCAGTCCCTGCCAACTGCTTGCCGAACATTTAAGGAATCCTTCTAAAGCTATGGGTCGGGGTCAGAACTGATCAAACGCCCTCACAAGGAACTTGGATTTTTTCCGTCTTTTCATTCCGCTCGTGGAAGCGGATGGGGAGTTCCAGGTTCCCACAAGAAAGTTTGTCTCTTCTTGCCTTTTGGGATGGTTTCCTTCCGCAAGACTTGCCGCTGCTCCGCAGAGAATGAGGGAATGAGGAAATGAACCCACAATTCCCCTTAAATGAAACCACGAGGGAAAGTTTATAAGGCTCATTCCCTTATTCCCTACTGAGCACCAGCAACAAGCGGGAGGCACATTGAAACAGAGAGGTTTTCGGCCGGGTTTCGTGTTGCGCGAGGAGTGCATCTCCGCGCTAGGCCGGATCCGTGAGCAAACATAGTTGCCCGGAATCCTTCGAATCTCTCGCTTTCTGGGTCTCCCCTCAAACAGGCGGTGGCTTCGAACACCGTCAAAAAACAAGCAGAGGATATCAGAGGATATTTCTAGGGGTTCGGTAGTTTGAGGGTCCAGGTACTCATTTCGCTGTTTGTTGTTTACGCGCAACAGCCCACTCCACTGCTCTGAGATCAAACCTTCGAATTCCCCCAGCGCTTTGAATTGAAAGGCTCACCCAGAAGTTGTGCGAGCAGTTCTTGGACCTAAGGAGTCGCCGGGCATGGCCAGTTAAAAGGAAGGCTCACTTGACCAAAGCGTTTTTTCCAGGTAGTTTGGGCATCATTTATCGGTTGAACTCAGCCATCAAAGATCTTTCGTGCGTCAACAATTTGGCCATCTTTGAGACGTCGAATTCGGACACGATGCCACGATATGTTTTCCTTCAAAGGCTTAAAGGGATAACATAGTCTCTAGTAGTCCTGGACCCACACAATTCCCATAAACATGGGCCCCACTAGTATGGGGTGAATTCCCTTTTGTGCATGGGTAGTTTGAGGGTTCAGGGTCATAGAAATGCTAATCGCATATTAATGCTGTGCCAACCAACAATGGTTTGAACCAGCAGATATCCCATTGGACATGCTCAGGGTATGTGTCAAACATGGTCCAAGGCTCAGAAACGACCTCTTGATTGAGGGCAGTGATGTAATACTTCAGCGCCCCCTTCCCCTTTCCCGGGTTGTTTGAGGGCAGTCAGAAATGATACTTAAACTCTCCCTTCCCGGGATTATCATGTGAGTCACAATCAAAACCCGGGTAGATGAAGGTTTGTAAGGGACAATCCCAACCATAAAAAGCTGCGGATATCCGCCTTCTTAATTCCTGAAGCATGGTTCTGGGGATCGACCATTTTAGTACTGGGTTTTGAGCAAGTGACTCATTTGAGGTTCGCACAATCTGTGGGCTTTTCCGGGATTAAACAGAAGAGCTTGCCAGGCGTGCGCGTGGTTCATGCCCAACGGAGGCCACGTAGCTCAGGGGAAGCCCTGCTGGCGACCCAGCGACATCAGTGTGATGCCTATAGGTCCGGGTGTTGGGAATCAACGTGAAGGCGATTGCCTTAAAGGACACCATAAGGATGGTAGTTTAGGGACTAAGCATCGTCTGGCCTATGCGAGAGGTAGGGAATGACAGGTGAATGAAATGTTGGCTTTTGCCTGGGAACTCGTTTCCGAAGATGACTTACTGTACGACCTGATATTTGTTGGATGGCACCCATTTCAATTGGCGAGAAGGAGTTTCCGGGGGAGATCTCGGGAATTCCATGACAGTTCCATGTTTATGCTTTTGGGTTGGGACCATACCTGGAGTCATGACCCAAATCAAAAATGGGTCAACCCCAGTCTTGTTGGTGACCCGGCCCATTTTTCAGTCAGAAGGAGACTCCAGACTTGTCGATCCACTCCACCGGAAGTTGGCCGAAGCATCGTTTTGGCCGAAGCTTTGCCCAACGTCCAACATCTGTCGGTCCCTTGCTGCTTTTGTGTGGCAAAAAAGAAAAAACACCTTGGACCCGAACCAAATTCCCCGCCCTGAAACATGGGGCAACTTACAACTCGACAGTATGTAATGGGTGAATTCCAATTCTTTTTTATGGGCGAAGGTGTCCTGGTGGCAGAGGTTGCGGTCAAGGAAGAGGTGGCGGCGGCCGCCTTCTTCCCGGAGGGCGTCTGCGAAGTGTCAGACGAGGAGCAGGCCCCATGGAAACCGCACTGTTGGTCATGGGCATGGAATTGAACACCTTGGCTTCGTCCCCGGTGGCATCCTGGCCCGGGCTGCTGCAGCGGGCATACCGGAAAAAGAGCAAACAGGTGCATGCGGACAAGGGAGGTAGCGACACTGAGCTATTTCAATCGCTGACCGCTACAAAGGAGTGGCTGCTGGAGCAGATCGCTCACTGGCAGGAAATCTTGCCCGTTTTTGCGGACTCGGAAGATGAGTGTTCTCGCAACTGCTCTCAGTGAGTTGAACGTTTAAGCAGGGTTGCGGGCTCCTTCAAGGATGCAGCATTGCCAAACAACAAAACGTTGCCATCCTCTAAATCAGCTGGTAAAGGTGATTTTGTTGAGGGCAGGAAACCATCCCGTTTGTTGGTCTTCACAGGGGAATCATATTATTCCAGGGTTTCTTAGGTGGTGCAGGATTTCGTCTATCCACAGTAGGGTTGAGCACAAATCATTCCTATGAACATTGCCAGACTGAAGTGTGACCTTTTTGCACCCTTTTATTTGCCTTCATCTTCCCCATGGAAAAATCCAAAGTGACTGTTTTTGAGTGGCTCTTAGCTTTTCACTTTGAGGTCCCGGTGCCGAGCCCATTTCGCTTGTGTAATTTTCTTCCATGTGCGGAAGTTGGTTTAAATGCCCCCTTTGGTTTTCTTGGTGGCTCCCAGCCATCCGGTTCCTTAGCTTTTTAGCCTTTTTAGTGTTTAGTGGAAAAGTGGTCCACTTGTAGTGGGGGATCTGAAAACGGACAGCTCAGACTTGAATGGGCACGCAAGGTCCGCCTACAGCAGCCGGCTCAAGTCAGAGGCCGGAGGGATAAGCTCTCTACAGACGCCCCAAGTCGGCGACGGCTGAAGCCGAGAAGGGGCGAGAAAGGGCAGAGAACATGAAGTCAGCGGTCTTAGAATGCCCCCTGCACAAGAACTGCAGGGATTTGTTTGAAGTATCAAGTTGTCTTCAGTTCGATTCATGGAGTCGACACTCAAGGCGCCCAGCGTTAAAGGGTTCTTTCCCGACTTCCTTACTTGCGTCCTTCAAACCTCGGTGGGCGTCGTTTTCCACACTTTCTTTCCCTAAGGCATCGTTCTTCCCAAAGGGCAGCTTGGTGGCTCCCAG